GGGTTGTATATAATCTTAAAGTCAAATTGTTGTAGTGCCATAGACCATCTAGCGAGTCTAGGCTTATCGATTTTCCACAGCCATTGAAGGGGCTTATGGTCAGACCTCACGGTAAAAGTTCGACCAATTAAGTATGGTCGAAACGCTAATATGAAATGAACGACAGCGAATCCTTCTAATTCGTAGATTGGCCAATTTCGCTCAGCAGCTGTTAACCGACGGGATCCAAAACGAACAGGATGTAGATTATGTAGATCATCCATTTGCATTAAACATGCCCCGATGGCAGTAGTAGAAGCATCGGTATCTAGCACATATGGCCAGCTCGGATGTGGATTTGTAAGAGTAGGGCATTCTGTCAAAGCCTTTTGTAATTGGTGAAAAGCATTAAGTCTTTCAGTAGTCATCTTGAAAGTAGTATCTTTTTGAAGTAGTTCGTAGAGTGGTCCTGCAATTTCAGCAAAACCTTGTATGAAACTCCTGAAATACCCAACCATCCCTAAGAATCGACGGATGGTAGTAGTATCATGTGGAACCTTGATCGCATTAATAGCATTGATGGATTCCACAGGCGGAGTTAACTTCCCTGCCCTTATATTGAAGCCTAGGAATTCAATCTCTTCTATGCCAAACTTACATTTGCCGACATTGACATGGGCACCAATTTCACATAGACGTCTCATCATGGCTTCAAAGTACTTAAGTAGTGTAGATTCATCATCTGCATGAATGACGATATCATCAACATAAACAGCGATACCTTCAAGGTCGATCACGTTTAGGTAGAGCCATCGTGCTAGGGCAGACGTTCCATTCAAAAGTCCAAATGGTACTCCAAGCCATTCCATCTGACCTAGTGGGGTCCAGAAAGCTGTCTTGTGCCTGTCATCAGGATGGATTTTCATCTGATTAAAGGAGTTCTTCAGGTCCATCACTACGAACAATTTTGAGTGTCCGAGTTGACGGATTATGGCAGCAGCGTCAGGAGCATTAAATGGGTCTGATTTCGTAACCGCATTCAATGATCGAAAGTCTACACATAGTCGACTCGAACCATCTTTCTTTGCAACTATGACTGGTTGTGAAAGCCAATTCGAAGTAGATCTTCGAATAGCCCCAGCCTCAAGTAGCTCACGTGTCAAACGCTTCAGTTCTTCTAATGTCTTCGGAGCGAAATGTCGATGAGGCTCAACTATGGGAGTAGCCTCACCAGTGTCGATACGGTAAACAAAGTTCTTTGAGCACGCGACTCTTGTCTTCTTCCATGCTTCGGAGTATTTCTCAAGAATGTCAACTATCCGTGACTTGGTGGC